AAAATCAATAAAATATATTTAAAAAAAAAAAAGAAAGAAAACAAATGTAACTTCTAATATAGCAGTTCTATTCCTAGGAGTTATCTTAAGGAAGTCATTTTTTTTAAATGAGCCCAAGAAGTTAATCAAACTTTTATAATACAGAAACATTAAAACACCCCAAAAGACAATATGGCTGTGTTATCATAGGAATGAGAAAAAGCAAATGGTACATCATGTGTGTGTGTGTTTGTGTATCTGAATACACTCAGGGGAAGTCAGGGAGGTTATATGCACCACACTGTTAATGATTCTTTACCCTGGTTGGTTGAACAGCTGGTGACCTTAATTTTCTCTTTTTTTGCTTATCAATATAATAAACATGTATTGTTTTTTGAAATAAGTTCTAAATAAAACCAATTTTGAGAATCAGAATAAGAGACAGTTGCTTACCATGTTCATTAAGAATGCATTTCCGCCAAACCGGTTTGGCTCAGTGGCTAGAGCGTCGGCCTGCGGACTCAAGGGTCCCAGGTTCGATTCCGGTCAAGGGCATGTACCTTGGTTGCAGGCACATCCCCACTGGGGGGCGTGCAGGAGGCAGCTGATCGATCTCTCTCATCGATGTTTCTAACTCTCTATCCCTCTCCCTTGATCGTGATTAGGTTCTAGAACAGCCGTGGGCAAACTACGGCCCGCGGGCCAGATCCAGCCCGTTTGAAATGAATAAAACTAAAAAAAAAAAAAAGACCGTACCCTTTTATGTAATGATGTTTACTTTGAATTTATATTAGTTCACACAAACACTCCATCCATGCTTTTGTTCCGGCCCTCCGGTCCAGTTTAAGAACCCATTGTGGCCCTCGAGTCAAAAAGTTTGCCCACCCCTGTTCTAGAACCTACAGAATTTGCCTTGAAAAGATTCATCCTCCCTCTCACTTGCTAGAAAGGCTAACTAACTGTAGACATGGTTGTTGTTGGTTTTTCCCCTTTATTTATTTATTTAATTTTTTTTACAAGAGAACAAATCCATTTTATTTATTTATTTTTCAATAAGTGTAAATCCTTGGGGGGTACAGAATTACACAGATTCTATGTCCAGTGGCCTTAGCAGAAAGGTTGCTTTGGAATTTAGCGTGACCCATGCCACTGTTTCCATGAGCACGAGTTACCTTTACCCAGATTACTCTGGTTTTACTCCATTTGCTACCAGGAGTCACAGTGGTGTTCTTGCTTTGTACACATAACCACATCTCTTGCCTAAATAGAATTCAGTTTCATCTCAAGTATAAACACCTTCAATTTTTTGAAAAAAAATTTTTTTATTATTGGTTTCAGAGAGAGAAAAGGAGAAGGAGAGGGAGATAGAAACATTAGTGATGAGAGAGAATCATTGATGCCCCCTGCATGCTCCCCACTAGGGACCAAGCCCACAACCCGGGCATGTACCCTGATTGGGAATCAAACTATGATCTCCTGGTTCATAGGTTGATACTCAACCACTGAGCCACGCAGGCTCAGACTAAACACCTTCAATTTTAAGAAGAGCTGTGTGCTCCCTCTGATTCTGGAAACCCCACTTATAGTCAGCAAAAATGGCCTTCCAGAGATATTTATTGTTACAGAAGTCCTGTTCTTAGCAGACTCTGTAGACTCCAAGATGGCAGGAAGAAGGCATATTTTTCTTTTAACTCTTAACGAATTGTACATCTGTATAGTTGATAATTATAAGATATTATTAGTTTTGTAACATACAGATTAGCAGTTTGTGTTCATCTGTAGTTAATAACTTGGACTGAGAACTTCAGAAGCTTCTGGGAGAATCTGGATATTACAGGTTTTCATTTCCTTGATTCTTGTAACATTTTACCTTTTCTTTTGTTTCTGTTTAGGTTCTATCATAATGAATGGATCCAGTGTGGCAAATACATCACCCAATGTAAAATCCAAAGAGGACCAGGTGTTAAATGGGCACGATGAGAAAGAAAACCCATTTGCAGAGTACATGTGGATGGAGAATGAAGAGGATTTTAACAGACAGGTAAAGAAAGAAGAGGAAGGACAATGATGTGTGTGACTCAGCAGCTATAATACTTTATTGTAGTTCTGTTACAAAAGAAATGGGTTCCTCGGCTTTAGAATAACTTAAAAATACGTGGAGGCCTAGTCTGAGCTGACCAGGAAACACCTTCAACTGGTAAAAGACCAGGTAGTACTTTGGAGGAAGAGCATGATATTTTTCTACCACATTAATTAGAAGATGATCTAGTGCCATGGTGATCTGGTATAGACTTCTGAGAAACAGCAGATTTGTGCAGACAGGCCAGCCTGGCATGCCCCAGTCAAGAACCCAGGGACTGGCAGAATGTGAGCCTGAGATCGGTATGTGTGTAGTAGGGTGGGGGAAGGCTAGACGCTTCAACAAAGATTCAGCAGTGTCTTCTATCTCTGTAACGTTAATATCCCAAGGTAAGCCATTCTAGGTAGACAGGTGGGACCACATAGTTCCTTCCATGGTGTTGCTTTGCCACCTCCAGGGCACTTATCAGCTACTAGTAAGTAACTGAAGGAAAACGGAAAGTCTAGCCACTGGGAAAGGGAGAGAGTCAAAAGCCAAGGCAAGGGATCTCCTTTTCACAAAGTGATGCGAAGTGCTCCCATCCCTTGTGGGGACATTACTTGATAGTTACGTGGCCATGTCTAGCACAGGAGATGGGAAATACGGTATTAACTGAGCAGCCTGTTGCTGAGAGAAGAAGAAAACAAGCTTTGGGGATACTGTCAGCAGTCTCCACTCCCACGTGGCTCACGGTGTCATGATTTGTGTGAGTAGCACATATATCATGCTTCGGTCACACCCCTGTGCCCAGGTAACCGTTTTTGAGGGTTGTGCCTGTGTATAAGGATAAATTTAATAAGGGGAACACTTTTGGGGGGAGTCAGGGCAGATCTTGAACAATTAGGTTAAATCTTGTGGCTTAGAAATATTTTGTAGTTATTGCTAAGTACTTCATAACTTTCTAATTTACTTGAATTTTTAAAAAAATGTTGCTAACTATAATGTTGAAATACTGTTTTTGAGTCTTGCTATCAGTGACTTTTCCTTTGAATTCATGAGGTGTTAACTGTATTGGCTAGTTTGGGTGATGATTTTTGTTTGACTCCTCCCTCGCAGTGGCATGAGTGAGCTGTGAATCTGTTACCAGGCCAGCTGCAGGAGAAGAGATGGCCAAATGTGAGGCAGGAGGCCTGTTAAAATCACACAGTGTGCAGATTGAACTCTTTCATAAGAGTTAATAGTCAATGACTGTAAACAGGTATAAAATATCTTAGATACATTTTGCTTTAGTTTAGGGCAATCTTTAAGAAATACGGACTTGCTTCAATATTCATAGTATTTTTCTTTTTATCTTCATCTGAGGACATGCTTTCATTGGTTTTGAGAGAGAGAAGGGAGAGAGAGAGAGAGAAACATTGATCAGCTGCCTCCTGCACATACCCTGACCGGGGATCAAACCCACAACTTGGGTATGTGCTTGGACCAGGAATCGAACCTGCAGCCTTTTGATATATGGGATGATACTCCAACCCATTGAGCACACCGGCCAGGGCTCATATTGTTTCTTGTTTTGAAAGAATATTACATTGATGAAATCATTTTCTATTGGTATGTCAAAAAGTGTTCTTTGTATTTTTCTAAGGTTCTGAAAGTATTTTTCACCCTTAAGGGCCTCATTACCAGAAAAGTGGGCCAGAAGCTGAGAGTTGGTTTTGACTTACTGTCTGCTGTCCAGGTAGTGGTCTAGTTACATAGTTCCTATACCTTTTTCATAGTTGTAAAATGGGAAATTTAGGAAAAGTTGCTTCTTAATAAGATTGAGAAAAGAATTTTAAGCTTTAAAAATGATTTTCGGGCCTTAGCTGGATTACTCAGTGGATAGAGCATCAGCCTGCAGACTGAAGGGTCCCAGGTTTGATTCTGGTCAAGGGCACATACCCGGTTTGCAGGCTCAATTCCCAGTGGGGGGCATGCAGGAGGCAGCCAATCAATGATTCTTTGTCATCGTTGATGTTTTTATCTCTCCTTCCCTCTCCCTTCCTCTCTGAAGTCAATAAAAAAATATTTTTATAAAAAAAAAAAGACTTTTGGTAAGTGCCATGTGAATGGAAAATATCTGTGTCACATATTAGAGGTTTTAGATGATCTGTGAAGAATTTCTGCTATTTTGAATAACTATTTCTTTAGTCTTATTGTTAATGGAACTTAACAATTGAAAAATTTATATTCTGTCCAGCCAGTCATTAGAAGCATCTTAATTCTTAGTAGATCTCATGCAAGATCATTCTTAATCTTGGAGTAAACCTCTAACACAAAGAGGTAGATTAAACCTGGAAGGGACGAGTGCCTCTGGGAGGGTGAGTCTGAGCTTGCACCTTTGCCTGTCAGGTGGAGGAGGAGCTGCTGGAGCAGGACTTCTTGGACCGGTGCTTCCAGGAGATGCTGGACGAGGAAGACCAAGACTGGTTTATTCCATCGAGAGACCTGCCTCAGGCCATGGGACAGTTGCAACAACAGTTAAATGGACTATCTGTCAGCAATGGTCATGATTCTGAAGATATTTTGGTAAGAGCCATAAGTAGTTCCACATGTGACATAGTGAGAATATGGGATTTGTAGTCACAGTCTTACTTTCTGGCACTATTACCTTGGGCAAATCCCTGGAGCCCTCTAAGCCGCTATTCTTCACTTACCATGTGGGCATTAATAATTGGGTACATTGAAGATGCATTCACCTAATAAAGCATTGTGAAAACATCAATGTTACAGCATCACCAACTTTCATTTTTCCCAATGGGCTTTTCAAAATAGAATTGGGATTAAGGATAAAAATTTGAACATAGAAAAGGTGTTGTTGGTTTTTGTGTTTTTTTTTAAGATATCTTTATTGATCTCAGAGGGGAAGGGAGAGGGAAAGAGAGAAACATCAATGATGAGAGAGAATTATTGATAGGCTGCCTCCTGCACATCCCCTACTGGGGATCGAGCCCACAATCCAGGCATGCGCTCTTGACTGGAATTGAACCCGGGACCCTTCAGTCCGCAGGCTGTTGCTCTTTCCACTGAGCCAAACCAGCTAGGGCAAGATTTGGTTTTAAATTATAATTTGCTGCTGTTCTTTTCTTTTACTGTCCCTCAAATCTGCATTTGTAATTTTGAATGATGCTGTTATAAAAACTGTTCATTTTGGAAGGAACATATTCATCAGAGGCCATTTTCCACTTAAAATTAGAAGACTGGGTAAATAATTCCCTGCCTTCCATGTTTACCTACGGAATTCTGAGTGATTTAGTTCTCACACAACTCATGGTCTGAATGATTGTGCCCATAGTTTGCTAAGATTTGGGTATTCACAAGAGAGCAGAGAACCAAAGAGTACAGCAAGATGAAAAAAGATATATGTGCATAGGGATTGTGGTAATCAAACTGGTTTGATGGAGTTCGCTGATGTTCATCAGATTAGGGTGCTCAATGAGTTGAATTATTTTTGGAGTCAAACTGATAAGCCCCTAATGAAAGCATCATAAAGGGAGCAGAAATCTGAAGCAGGAAGGAGACAGTGCGGTTGGTCAGGGCTTAGTATGTCAGGGGCCATTGAGACCAGCCCAGCAGTAATGGGCTGAGTTGCAGGAATTCTGTTTTTTTCTCTCTTGAGGCTGAGGGGAAGGTGCTGGTAATAATGGAAACAGGGAGAAAATAAGTTTTAAAGTACAGTTTGCCGTGGGATTTATTATCTCTTGGTTCTTATTTCAGAGCAAAAGTAACCTGAACCCGGATGCCAAGGAATTTATTCCAGGAGTGAAGTACTGAGCTGACAGAAACTTTGAGGAGGACTTGTATGTCCCCACATCTGGGGACAGTGCCGCACAAAAAGGCAGAGCTGAAGGGGGGGTGGGGTGGGCTAGGGATGCACAGTGGGGGAGGGGAATAGTAGTTTAACTTAACACTGTGACTGGAGTAGCTAAACGTGCTCAGTCTTACTCTACAAGCCTCTGAGTATTTCTCTTTTGTTCTACTGACTTTCCTTTTGAGCAGTTTATTATTATTATTATCATTATTAGGTTTTGCCTTTTTGAGTTAAGGAAATTATTGCAATTCTTCACCTTCATCAGGAATGTTCTGCAATGTGTGTTTAAACAGAATAAGCTGACCAAGAAAATCTGGGTGTTTACACGAATGCCCTCTCACCCTGCTGTATGCTTGCAAGGGCAGTGAGCACCTAGAAAACTACTGAGTCTGTTAAGCTGGATGGGAAGAGGGATGAGTGGAAGAAGCAGGTGTTTTAAACCAGCCTTTGCAACTATGCGACCCCTGAGGGCTTTCTGCAATGAACTGGGATTACCAATTGCCTGCTGAGCCCATGTCTTCCTGCCTTGAACCTCCATTCAAGAAAACACGGACTTAAAATATTGGTTTACAGTAACTCTTTTGATGTTGATGAAAGTTGTAAATTCAAGGGGAAAACTGTGATGGTTATTGCCATTTGAGTCATACAGTTACGGTTGGCCTACTCTTAAGCCTCTGTTTACAGCTACCATCAAACTCATCATTTACAAGGTACAGGAGCACTTGGGTAGATTTGCCTTTTTGTCTTTCATGGTATCTAGTCCCATATTCCTTTCTACCCCCACCCTACTCTGATTTTAAGAAAAGATATTATTACCAAAGGTGTGTGAAAGGCATGCTATGCTGGCCATCAGCTTCAGCCTGGAGAAGCCATCCTTGAATCCTGTTAGTGTGTCTTAAGTTTATTTTGACAGTTGTTTTTCCCAGCCCATGAAGACTCAGTCCTTTTGGTATATTACTTTCCTTGGAAAGGTTTATGCACTTTTATAAGTAAATATATTTTTTAGGACACTAACAAGAAGCTCAGTTCACAATTTTGATGCTTCTCCCACTTTACAGAATTATGCAAAAGAACTAAAAAAAAAAAAGCCTAATAGAGTGAGTCCTACTTGACCCAGGTGACTGTGTGACCCACTGGGATAGTTTCAGCAGTTATAAAATTTTGCTGTTCCTAAGTTTTGTAGGTTGGGCCTCTGGGCACATTCCTTTCGTCTTTCCTGCCTATAAGTCACAGGGGTTTTTTGCTGATACTCATAGGGAACTAAACTGGGTACCAGGTGCTGCCTTTGTGTGACAGAGATGTAGGTGGCGGTCAGTTCTAAAAGAGAGTGCGTCAATTCCTGGCCATTCTCCCAGGATGAGGACTTCCAGGGCCTGGAGGACGGTGGCTTCTGTGTGACTGTTCCTGTGTTGTGGATAGACATACAGTGGGGCCTTGACTTACGAGTTTAATTCGTTCCGAGACCGAGCTCGTTAACTCAAATTACTCTATCAACTCAATGCAAAAAATCGGCCGAGAGACAGCTGGTATCTCAAAAAACTCGTTAGTCGGGACACTCGTAAGTCAAGGCCCCACTGTATCAGGAAAAGATCTTGTAACTTGAAATAAAGTCTGTGCAAAATCAGTATGTGGATGTGGGAGAGAGGTTGGAAGGAAAGAACTAGGATCTGGAAAGCTTAAGAACTTCTCCTTTTTCTTATGAGTTCCTTGTTGATGTTATGAACAGCCACAGTCTAAGGTCAGATTTAAAATACAAACCCACAGCGTTTTTTTATATGAGTCTATTGGACGGCATTATTTGAACTGGCCTTCCTTGTTAGGTCACATATCATAGGGAGCTTGTATTGCCAGACATGCACATTCATTCCCAAAGCCTTTACCTCAAAAGAATGGAACTCTCACTTGGTTTCTAGGGAGGTGTATGGACAAAGGAATTTCTTTATTACAGCTTCAGCTTCCAACTGGGGTTGTTGCCTATAACAAGGAGCCGTGGAAGTGCAGAATTAGAAGTCTCTCTCTTTTCTGGGGCTGCTTTTCTTTCATCTCCAGTAGCTTGTCCAAGCTCAGAATTATAAAGGCTGTTGGAAATGTTGTGTGATAGACATATCAGGAAAAGATCTTGTAACCTGAAATAAAGTCTGCAAATTAAGTATGTGGATGTGGGAGAGAGGTTGGTAGGAAAGGTTGTGATTGCAGAAAGAGACATTTTCTAGATCTGGGTATTGCTGTCACAGAGTACAATGGGTTCTTGTGTGCTCCAGTCAGGAAAGTGCTACCGGGATCCAGATCTAGCCATTTCTTCATCCTGAAGGCTAGCTCTTCTGACACCAGGACAGGCTATAGTGCTAGGTACAGTCCAAAGGGCTTGTCTTTCCGTCTGGGGCTCCACTTTGGATGTCAGTCTTCAGTGTATTGTCACAAGGCATATTTAGGCAGGACTACGAAATGTTCCTGCCAAGTGAGCAGTGAACCTGAGGGCTGGATTTTCCAGAGTGTGCTGACTCCAGGATCAGAAAGCAGCTCGCAATACAACCCCTTTTTAAATGTTTAGGCTGATGCTTCCAGTGGCTCCTCTTATAGCTCAACTCTTCATCTGTTTTGTTGTGAGGTGGGAGCACAGCTGTTACCCAGATCACAGGCTCAGCTATAGTTAGTGTTTGCCAGTTTCTTAGCAAAAAAGGCATTTGGGTCTCATTGGACCTTGACCGGGAAAGGCTGGGAGCCTCTGTCTCATAGGAGAGGGTCTGGGTGCCAGCCAGGCTGGACACCGTTACCCTTTAATGGTGGGCTGTTATTTATAAGTGATCACTTTGATGTTGAATTTCAGTCATTATTCTGTTGAAACTTTTTTTTATTGGCAACTGGAAGTTTGAGAATTTTTATAGAAACAGAACATACATTTTTACCGGTTGCCAATTCTGGTTGGTCTCAGTGTTAGTTTATTAGTGATTACTTTCTGATTTTTGTGGTTATTGAATTCTAAAACTCCAAGATGAAAATTATTTTATTTCTTGCTCTTCAAGGAGAAAAACATAAAAATAAAGGAAATGCCTTTTCAGTTTCTCCAGGCCATAGATCTACAGCAGAAAACTTGATGGGCACAGCCTAGGCCTAAGCACCTGCAACTTTGGGTCTTTGGGCCAGTTTCTGCTTACAGCAGATGATTTTTGGGGGGTTATATTAGGTCGAATAAAACAAAATCATAAAAGGCTGAACCTTTGTAGCACCTCGGTTTCCAAAGTTAAAATAGCTGGGATCTTTTAAATTCAGGTTCTAATGCTAACTCTATGGCTTAAAAATGTTTTTAGTGAAATACTAAACATTTTTCAAATTGTGTATTGTTACAATGTCAAAGTTTTGTCTTGATTTCGGAGAGGCTTAGAAGTAAGGAGGTCAGTTGGATACTCTGGCAATGATATGTCAGAGAGGAAAGTCGTTTGAAGTAGCCAAAGGAAATAGCTTGACTGAATCTTCTTATGTTAGTGCTGTTGCAAACACTGTAGAAACATTAGGAGCCCAGGAATCTACCTGCTTGATTGGAAGGGGCAAGTGGTCTTCGATAAGGGTACCAGCAAATTAATGTTCCTTGGTTTAGGTGATGCTGAGGTATGGGAACAGGCAGAAGAGACCAGACATTTAACTAAGATTTGGAGATACCCCGCCAGCACTCTCCTTGGGGATAATGCAAACCTCATTTGTTTAGGAGGGGGGTGGGAAGAACCGGAGAGGTGACCCAGGCCTGCTGTACACTGGGAACCTTCATTTCCTCCTACCTCTGCTTGCAGTTCCCAAGTGAATCATTGCCCCCTCGTTGCCCATGGGGATCCTTAGTTCTTCTGGTCCCTCTGCCTTTGTAGTTCAGAGTACTTTCTTCAGCCACTGCTCTGCTGTCGTGTGAATTTCATTCAGACTTGGTTAGTCACAATTTTGAAAGCCCCCTCCCCCCCCTGCTTTTAATCTTCTGTTTTTATTTCTCCCATCTTGCAGCTATAATTGGTGACAAGGAACAGGGCAGTAGGAGGCTGAAGGCAACACTCAGGTTTTTTGCTTGCTACTTGACCTTCTGCCTACCCGCCTACTCTTGTCTCTCTCCCCACCACCCGCCCCTGCCCGTCAGTCTAGTTTTTATGGGAGTCCTAGGAATAGGACAGCCAAGTACACTGAATTCCACAAGGTGTCAGCCAAGAGTCACCACCCCACCCCAGGGGATAAAAAAGAAATCTGCAAAGGGACAGATGCACCATCTTTATTCTAAAAGAAAAAGCCCCCTTAGATTTTGTTATTACTAGGAGGCTCATTTTTGGGACTACTACTTACAGGTGACCTTTTATTTTATAATGAAGAAACATCCTAGGCAGTTTACCATAAAATGGTACAGTGTTTTCACTCTGAACTCAACACTAAGTGATAATCCTGCCCTTGATTGTGAACCTCAGGAATGTTTAGTGCTTGATGGGTTGTTCGGGAGGCAGGGTTGTTTAAAAAAAATTATTGAGGCATATTTTACATATAATAAATCCACCCATTTCAAGTGTTAAATTGAATGATTTTAGTAACCTTCCTGAGTGGCACAGCCATACCCGTAACTGTTTTAGAACATTTTCATCCACCCCAATAAGATCCTTCATTTATTGCACAGTAATCCCTGTTCCCAGCTCTAAGTGACACTAATTTCCATCTCTATAAACTTGCCTTTTCTGGACATCATGTCAATGGAATCATATAAAATCTGTTCTCTTGCCTCTGGCTTTTTTCACTTAGCATATTTTGTGGTTTATCCATGATGTTTAACTTGTGTTGGTAGTTTGTCCCTTTTTATTGCTATAGTATTCCATTGATAGATATACCACATTTTGTCAGCAAGGAGTCCTTGAAACTTGGATTTCAACCTCCCGTGGTCTAAAGGAACCCTTAGAACATAGGACTCTAGGGGAAGGTGCTCTTCACATCAAAGGAACTGCTTATCAGAACCAGCTTTGTTACCAGAAGCTCGAGACGTTAGGAGCCTGAACTGCTGCAGAAATTTTTATAGTTTTGCAACTTTTTTATAAGAAACTCTTTTGCTATCTACATGTCAGTACTTTTGAAGCATCTGGTAATTAATTTATTCTGAAGTAGGAGTATGTGTTTGAGTGGACAAGAAAGTGAACCATCAGTAATACTGTGTTGGAGATTTTTTTCCTCCCCAACTGGGTAGGGGAGTCCTCTGAAATTTCTAAATAGTATCATCTCCATGACAAGGTGGAACCTTTGTTCAAGATCATGCAGCCTTTGTTGGACAGATTTTGGGGAGAGGAGGACCACCATCAGAGGAGGTGCAGAGGAGAAAGTGCAGCTTGTGGAACAAGAAGCCCAGAGATCTGTGCATGCCCCCCCCTCTTGGTGTGGGTGGTGAAGTGTTGATGGTGTCCACAGGCAGCTTAGCACCTCCAGCAGGCCCAGGTCTTGACTTTGGACCTTGATCCCTGTTTCAAAGTGTTTAAAAGCTGTTTTTGTCTCTCCCCCATAAACATTACATGGTGGTTATTAATACTTCTTTGGGGGAGAAGCAGGGCTTTAAAATAAATAATTTTCATAAAAGTATCAAAAATAGGAAAACAAGTTACTTTAAAAATTTTGCTATACAAACCAAATGGCAGCTGTTGAAAATATTAATAAAATGAGAAAAAAAATGCATTTTCTGGCAATGGAACTCTTTTTCCTAAGATTGGGTCATTATATAATCACACTATACAGGTGGTGGTATATGTGTGTGTGTTTGCGAGAGATTTTTTTTGTCTCAAGATTGATCATAGTTTTAGTTGTATAATTTTCCATTCCAAATAGTGTTATAATATTAAGCATTGCCCTGTGTGAATGCCACCTTCTCCACTTCCTTTGTGTTTTCGGTCTGAACTTGTTTGTTTATAAAGCTGACACACCTCCTTCCTTTCGCCAATTGACAATTAGACTAAATTTAATTTCAAAATACTTCCTTAATATATGGTAGCAATAGTGGTAATATTATGTACAGCTCTGAACAAATTGTAACAGGAAAACCTTGGGTTTGAAGGGAAACTGGATAGCTGTTATTTTTCCTGTTTCTAGGAAAAACTGACTCTTATCTAGAAAATAAGGATTCTGTATCTGCCTTTCAAATATTGAACAAGTTTGAGAGCCTGCTAGGTCCCAAGCACTGTCCTAGGTGCCAGTGCTACTGTGGTAACAACCTATGTGCTGGCACTAAAAAAATTTAAAAAATAAATTTTAAAAAATCAGTCATGAGGTGCTCATTGCTCTGCTCTAAATCCTCATTGTCCAGTTGGAATAGCAGAGCCTAGACAGTGGTAAGAAAGATAAGGCTTCTATTTTAAACTCTTCACCAATAAAGTTTTAGATTCTAAATCTAAAATACGGCTTGATCTTGACATGTAAAAATGTTCTCCAAAGCTCACTGCTCCTTAACAGTGTTACTAGGTCAAAGAGATATAGCAAAGGCATCTCCAGTGTGTCCTTATTCTCTTTGCCAGCTCTTTACCGGATGATTATTAGACTTGCTGAGAGCTGGACCCCAGTGGGTTGGGCTACAGCTAGATACAAAGATGTCTGGCTGTCCCTTCGGAAGGGACTTGGCTTGAGTTCTCATTGCTCAAAGCTCCACCTTACTATGTTGGGCAAGACCTGTTGGAATGAGAACTGCTGCCATTCTCTTACACACTATGAAATAAGTGTCATCTGACTTGGGAAACAAATATCAAGTCCCCTTCCAGGACCTAATCAGAATTCAAAAGCTGTAGGGTAGCGCTCCCTCAAATGCAGATCCTGGACCTCTGCAGCAGAAATGACAAAAGGTGTTCAGAGTAAATGAAAATTCCCTATCTCACCCTAGCTGGTTTGAGCGTCAGCCTGTGGACTAAAGGGTCCCAGGTTCAATTCTGGTCAAGGGCACATACCTTGGTTGCAGGCTCCTCCCCAGCCCAGGCCCTGGTAGGGGGCGTGCAGGAGGCAACCAATTGATGTGTTTCTTTCACATTGATGTTTCTGTCTTTCCCTCTTCTACTCTTCCTAAATAAAAATCAATGGAAAAATATCCTTGGGTGAGGATTAACAAAAAAAATTTAAAAATAGAAAATTCCCTATCTGATCTTTGACCTATTGAATCAGATAACCTTATAGAGGGGGAAGAAAACAGAAATCTGGGTTTAAAACAAGTTCTAGAATAACTGATACATTAAGTTTGAGAACTGATATCCAGGATATAATCCATGCCTTCTAACAGCTTACACTCTCAACACCTAGAGAGGTAGCCACTATTAATCAAGGACTTCAGCCTTCACTAAGCAGTATGGTCAGCAGAACAGGAAACTTTGGGCTTGTCAAACTACATTATCCAAAGGACAGGAATCCTGTCTCCTCTTCACTGATGTTCACCTTTCCCAGTGCTACACAACAGATGCAAAGTTTCGTGCTGTAACCAGAGCCAGGCTATCCCAGAATAGGTAGGCACCTAGTTAAATTGTATCTAGTTGGCCTTGGATCTCAGCCATCCTCATAACCTCTCAAAGGACTCATTTACGCAGAAAACTGTAAAATGTGCTGCTCACCCCTAAGTACCAATCCTCCCAGATGAGATTTGCATCCTGTCCCCTAAATTCTATGTGGCACTCTCAGGAGAGGGTGTGGTATGTCTAAGGTCATTCCCGGTGATGTTTTGCACGGAGAACATTTAGTTCCACTGAAATGCTCTGGCAGAGATCATTACCCACTTTGACAGAAAATTGAGGACACAGGTTAACCGGCAGCAGCAGCAGGAGTATGCTAACACTGGGGGAGGGGTGGCACACAGATAAATTGTAAGTCCAACTGCAGGCCAAGCACTGTAATCCACAGGCCAAGCACCTGGGGGTGGGGCTTTAAACCCTGGGCTAAACCCATTCCCGAGCCCTCTGGGCCACCTGCAGGCAGGTGCACTGAATGTACATAGCAAGTGTGCTTCACAACACAATCCAACTGGGTAGTGGGTAAAGTGCATTTATTTTCTCTCTGTTTTTACTTTGGAAAAAAAAAAAAAGGAAAAGGAAAAAGAATCCCCCTCCCTCCCAGCACCCATTGTCCACTGGCCACGGCGGGGGTGGAGCCAGGGCCAGTCCCCTAGGAGAAGGTATAAGAGTAGAAGGCAACGGCATTGACACTGTAGTCCAAGGGGAGGAGGTGCCCGATGTGCCTGGCCCCTAGGCTGGCCCCGCCCAGGGCAGAGGAGTGATTGAGCTTCATCAGGGTGAAGCTGGAGAAGGAGTTCTGAGCCTGGATCTCTCTGCCCTGGGTCAGCGCCAACAGGAAACCTGGAGGAAAAGAGGGCAGAGGACAGATGAAGGAGACCAACGGCCTGTGATGGAGCCCACGGCGGGGACAAAGAGCGAGGAAAGAGGCCCGCGCCCTGAGGCATTCCCGTACAGGTCCTGGGGGACCCACATGCCAAATCCCACCAGGTGTGTACCAGTGCGTGAGCCCAGTAACGACTGGGGAACTGGAGCCAGCTGTCCCCGTGCCCGATGCCAGGAGCTCCAAGGAGCAAGGGCCCTTGAGCTACTTCAGAACCTAATGGAACCAGAGTTGCCCAAGGCGGCAAGGGCAAAGAAGGCCCATTTCTTTCCTTCTGGCTAGGACCCTGTTGAGACGAGGGATGTCACCACATGCTGGTCTGAAGCTCTGATTTTAAGTTAGATTTGTCTTTAATTTTTAAAAAATGGTGTTATTTAATAAATCCTTTGGAAAAGAACATCTTTTTAAGAATTCAAAGAAGCTGGATGGGACCTTGTACGAGGGCTCCCCGGCAGACTGAAGGCTGAGGCCTGGAGCTGAGGCATCAGTGGCCGCAGGTCCCAAGTCCTCCCTGGAGCAGAGAGCTTTCCTGAGCCACCTCTTCCCGCACCATCCCTCACCCTTGGCCTCCCCAACCCCCACCACACACTCACCTTCCTTCAGCAGCTCCCAGCTCTTCCACACAGAGCCCACGCACAGGATGGGGAGGCCAATCTCCCCTTTGAACAAGACCTGGCCAGAGAGCAGAAATGGACAGTGGGGGTCACCAAGTCTCCGATGCTGAAGGGGATAATCTTAAAACCAGCGCTCCCCATTCCACGTACACGCCACTATCCCACGTACAAACCACTATCCCACATGCACGCCACTAGTCGAGAACCAGAGGTGAACTCAAGGGGGAAAGAAAGGGGGGAGGAGAGGAAAATACGGAGATTCACAAAGGCAAGGGGGAGAGGGGAAAGGAAAAAGCATTGAGCAGCAACAGAGGAAGGAGCAAGAAGAGAGGGAAATGGGCAGAAACATGACTGAAAGGGGGGAGCCCGTTACCACACTGAACCAATGCTCTACATATAAAGATCATGGACCAGCCACAGCAGGAGGCACTGGACCAAAGAACTTTTTTGTGTTATAGACATTCTACAAAATTTTTCTCAAACCCAAGTTTTCATTTAAAATCATATCCAATTTACAGAGTTCGATGGGACTGTCTCACCCCTCGTGGGAAAGGGCCAACCTGGCCCAGCAGCTCCCACCTCAACTCACCGGGTCAATCTCAGGCAACACCGCCACGACGTGCCTGCCCAGCATCTCCCCAGCCTTCCTGAAGATGTACCGGGAGAGGGGGTCTCCCTGCTGAGCACCTGAGGGAGGGGAGGAGGGGGGAGCGGTGAGTTCCTAGGGAGCTGCCAGTGCTCAGTTCCCGCTCTCTGGTGCAGGGCAGCAACAGCTAGGTCTAAGTCGGGAATGATGCCCACCTCAGGGCATGTAGGCAAGTCAGCCTCCAAAGCTGCCACTCCACCCTTACTTCCCCCACCTCTACCAGGCCCTTCTCCCTAGGAAGGGTGTCCTGGATGGAGGTGGCTCGTTCTAGGCACTTGAGAAGGGAAGCCCCCCAGTAGAGAAGCACCCTGGCACCGGGCTCACACTCCGGCTCACATGGAGTTATGGAGTCTGTCCCAGAAGGTCTCAGCTCTGGGGACCCAGGACTCTACGTGAGCAGCTGGCTGGTGCTCCTGTCAGGGCCCCCCACCCTCCTTCTACAGTCTGCTATTGGTCAGTTCCTTCCCAGCTCTGTTCTGAAGGGGCCTCCTGCCAGCAGGATCCTCCAATGCCCTGAGGCTGCAGGAATCCAAGTTAAGGAAGTGTGGACCGTACAGTGGAGAAAGAGTGGCGTGCAGACAAGTAAGCCCTATGGTTCAGCTACTCCTGACACCCAACCAAACGTGCCTAACCGCTCCAGGATCCTCTAGTTCTTTGGGTATCTTGGTTTTAAAAAAGTTACAGATTTGCCCAAAGGACAAGTGCTTCATAAATTTCTCAGAAACGGACATACAGCCTGCACAAGCCACGATAGCTGCCAAGAGAAACAGGTAGCATAAAACAGCTGTCAGTACAACTGTGTGTCCCGCCTCACCCCAAGGCCCATGGTGGCAGAGAACTGAGGCCACTTGGTCAAAGGGAGATCAAACTGGCTTCCAGTCCCCATCTGAACCTTCCTCCACTACGGCCCCCTTCCCACCTGGGGAACAAACCCCGCCCCACCTCCAGTACCTTCTGCAATTTTCCGGCAAAACCCAGCAAACCTGGATTTATCAAAGTCCCTATACAGGTGTACGAGGATTCCTAGCCGGTCTGGCACCTGAGAGGCAGAGAAAAGGTACAAGATAGTCATCAGAAGCAAAGGAAAATCCTCAGTCTGCCCACCTAAGGTGACCTTCCTCATGTCTCTACTGATTGAAAAGGTGGAACGTTTGTTCTTTTAAGCTCTAGAGCAGTGGTTCTCAACCTTCCTAATGCCCCGGCCCTTTAATACAGTTCCTCATGTTGTGGTGACCCCCAATTTCATTGTTACAAATTGAACATAATTAAAGCATAGTGATTAATCACAAAAACAATATGTAATTATATATGTGTTTTCCGATGGTCTTAGGCGACCCCTGTGAAAGGGTCGTTCAACCCCCCAAAGGGGTCGCGACCCACAGGTTGAGAACCGCTGCTCTAGAGAGAATGCAAGGATTTGAGATTTCTCATTTAAGAAAAGTTCTTTGTTCTCCCAACACAAGCTCCATTGCTCCTTACAGATTAGTTTGGACAGAGCACAGATCTCTGCTCACCAAAGTGTGTTCTGTAGTTCCCTGAGGTGCTTATGAACAGATTTATTTGATCAAAGGACTCCAAAGACTACTGCACACTGTAACCCTCCCTTAGAGATTCACAGTGCACATTAGCAAGTTAAAGGCTCTGAGAAGTCCTGAACCAAGAAATCTATTTGTTTCCCCCAAACTTATTTGGCCACAGAAGGTCCTTCTTCTATCCCAACAAACTTAACAAACCAGTAACACCTCTGAAGGTCCTGAGGAACCAGTGATTCCCCAGATATATCACTAAGATGGAAGAAGAGGGGCTAAAATTTGAGCTCCTACAGCAATGTATTACTATTATAAAGACTACTTATTTACTCTCTACAATGACCTTATAAAATGACCAAAGGATAAGAGAGGGAGTGGTAGATATATCACTGGGATTTAGAACCAGTTGCTGAGTCAGCATACCTTACCTCCACTTCCTATAGCAGTTGCTATTCCTATTCCTCAGCTTGGCCCAGGCCATTTTCTCTATAATCATCAACCTATGAGTCTTGAAAATATAGTTGCTATTCCTATTCCTCAGCTTGGCCCAGGCCATTTTCTCTATAATCATCAACCTATGAGTCTTGAAAATACGTTGCTATTCCTATTCCTCAGCTTGGCCCAGGCCAGTTTCTCTATAATCATCAACCTATGAGTCTTGAAAATACAGGGCCTACCTCCTATATTTCTAATCTCTTTCCCAGACCCCATCCCCAGCTCACCTAAGTGGCCCTCACTCAGAGAGATGTCTATTACATCTGTATTCTCTTCCTTCTCCTCTTCCCACCTTTTACCTCTGGCTCAGATAAACTCAGCTATTTCCAAACCCACTACAAATAAGCACAACTGAGACAAGAAGGAAAATCAATCCCCGATAGCCTGGGTAGGAGGCCATACCTCCCTAAGAACTCTCCCAGTCCACCTCCTAATGCCTCTCCTCCCTGACCCACACAGGCCGAAACAGCTCGCTGTCTAACATATCTGTTCGGACTTTACCCCTGTCTCTGTCTGTGAGCACTGTTTCCTGATCTCACTCTGCACTCCTCATTCCAGCTTAGGATGTCATCTGCCTTCACTACCTGCCCAAGAATGAAGTGTGGCTAACCACCCATCCCTCAGCTTAGAATGTCATCTGCCTTCACCTCCCAGCAGGGTCCAGCTGCCCAAGAATGAAGTGTGGCTAACCACCCATCCCTAACCTACTCCTCCCTCATGCCTGATACCCTCCTGGAGTGTACCGCCATATCGATCCAAATCCTGTCCTCACCTATGACTTCTCTATCCTCTAGCTCTGACCCACGACTCACCCCGACTTTCCTTTGGCTCACCCAGTCCCTCTCTTGCATCACTCCTGCTCAGTCTCCCACTGCCCTACCCCAGGTGTGCGTGTGTACCAGGGGCAGGGGGAGTACCTGGAAGTAGCTGAACATGGCCTGTTTGACGTAGCCAATGTCATGAGGAGCTGCCTCCAGGTTGTCGATGGAGTCGAACACTATTTTCACTGCCTGGTGTGCAATCCAGTAGGCTGTGAAGAGCAGAGAGGGCTAGAAGAGGGGGCAAGCTCCCCAAGCTCACAGGGAAGGGACCTCAGACCTAGACAGGCTGAGCAGTCAGCATGGATACTATAGCAAGCTAGGCGCCCCGATTCCCAGACAGGTGGCCTCTAATTGAACTGCATCTGACAGATCACATAGGGAAAGCTGGAGGGGGAAGACAGAACAGGTGACGCTGTGTCACACCAGCTGCTAGGAACTGGACCCCAAGGGCCCCTATGAAAACCTACACCTGCTGCCTATAAAGATGTGATAGCGGGAGAAGCTTCTATATCCCCTTCCCATTAGCAGACGAGCAGAGCATCTCCTGGCCTCCTTGGCCTTAATCTTCATAGTGTCAATTCCTCCCCAGGGCTCCAAAGCCAACACACATAGTCAACAGCTATTATGCTGAGGCATGAACCTGAATCCGGGGTGCATATCCCTGCTGAAGAGCAAGGCAGCCACTTGTCCAGCATTTGCATCTCTACGCTCTCTCGGTCACTGTTTTGTACTCAGGACCATCGACTCAGGAGCTGTCCCCAGAAAGCCCCAAGGGGTCAGCAGGTTGAAGGCAAGAGAGAAGATTGAAGAGCTGCAGGCAGGGAAGGTCCAGGACCCTGAGCCAGGCCCAGTCGGTGTGAGCTCACCTGAGCCCTCGTCCCCCATCATGTGGCCCCAGCCGCCGCAGCCACTCTCAGAGCCATCTGGGTTGATGAGCCTGCAGTTGGAGCCTGTCCCAGAGATGAGCACGATCCCACCTGGGGAAAGGGCACAGGGGGCTCAGTGAGGCCAACACACTGCACACAGCAAGCGCACAGCTTCCAACTGAAGAAAGGACAAACACCAGCCCGGGCCAGGGATCGCCACCCAGCCTTGCAGAGAAAACTGAGCTAGTTTCCTGCTAAGGTGGGGGACCGCTCTCAATTACATACAGCCCTTCTCTGGGGACAGAGAGAATAGGAGCCTGTGTCCCCTTGCCCAGCCAGCCTTCCAGTGACTACCTGCTTTACTGAGTACCTACTATATGCCAGGGATGGTGCTGGATCCTATTCACAGTAATAGTCAGTAGCCTTAAGCCACCTTATCAATATGCCAATCTTGTGGTACCAAGGCTGTTTACACTCCTATCAGAGCTCCTCTTCCTTTTTTTTTTTTTTGTTTCTCAGCATTTACTGCTTTCCTCAGCCAGCCTCAGAACCTGCTTCCTTTGGGATAGTCTTAGGTCTTGCTTCTCATCAAGATACCCTCTTGCCTTCCCTCCTGTCCAGTCTTTGCACTGGCAGGGACTTAAGCTAATTAAAGGGGGTTGGGATATGATGGAGGTTGCCTTCCAGATATTTGCAAGACCAATTCTCCCAGCTACATCTAACAAGCTTTCCCAAGAAAAAGTTCTCAACCTCACCCCTCCCTCCACCTCCTCACCATCCGGCGTAGCTGTGGCAATGGAGCCAGCGGCATCGGTGGTGATTACGTAGCTTTCGCTCAGGTAGGGAAATCGGTCCCTCAGCTCCTCCATCAGGATCCTCACCGCGTCCTCCTGCTCCCCACCGCTCAGGGATAGGCCCTAGGCCACGGGGGAGGTGAGCAGGCAAGCAAGATGTAGACCCAGCTCCTTTCTCAACCCCCACCCCTCCTGCTACCTGCCCCCTGCTCTCTACATCTGGGCCCTGCTTCTCCAGCCCCAGTCTTCCTTCCACCCCACATGCTAACCCCTTGGAAGATGGTGGCTGTAGGAAGAACCTGGACAGGAAATGGACTAGGGATTCAACGATGCCAAGTTTGGAGCTTAGGATGACAACAGTGCCCTTAACAGAAAAATTAGGCAGAGGAGCAGGTTGAGGAGAGACAAGCTTGGTCGGGAATACATGGGGTTGGGCTGTGCCTGCAGAACATCTCACTGAGGACGTGTCCAGGGAGAAGCCAAGGCTACAAGCAACTTGGGAGAGAGGCCTGAGCTGGGAAGAAGTGCTCACTTAGTAAGTGCTCATGGGTCAGGGTCTCTGCCAACCACTTCAGAGTGTGTCACGTCATTTTACTTTCCCAGCAACTCTGAGGCAGCTACTGTCATCTGCGCTTTCCAAACGAGGAAAAAGAGGGTCACAGAGATGTTGAGTGACACACCAAGGCCGCAGTGGCTCCCCAAAGCCCGGTGCTCTTCCAATCGTTATGGCTTGTAGATGACAACTGAAGCCACAAGAATAGGTGAGCTCGTGCGAGTTTCTAGACCAGAGAATAAGCCTCCAAGGTCTTTACCTCTGCAGTCAAGGTCATCAGACTCATCTACCTCAAACACACTTCCTCAGTGTTGCTGTGACTCATCTCCCAGGCTCTACCCCAGACTCACCAAGCTTCGTAGAGGCACCAGAGGATCCACTCCTGCTTTCTGCTTGGCCCTGCTCACCATCTCGTTGATCCTCTCCACACACTTGTCTGTCCCGATCAGCTGGCCCCAGTCAAGGGAAGGAGGAGTTACAGAGGCCTGCACACCTGTGCTGCCCCTACAGGCTGCTACCCCTGACCAGGAGTTACAGAGAATAAAACCACAACCAAGCCCCTCAGTGTGGCCTTTACCCAGTGGTTTGTGCTGAGTCCATCCGCTTCTGCCAGGATCTGCCCATCCTCCGAGAGTAAAAGGACCTTGGACTGTGTTCCTCCCCTACAGAACACAAGTCTTGCTCAGAAAAACCTGAAGGTACAGCTAAGCTTGTGCAGTCCCTGTCACAGAGCCAGTGTGATAGAGACTGCTTCAGTAAACCCAGTCACCATCCCCAAACCCACCCCCGTGTTTGGTGGCTGTTTGTGCTCCTGGTCCTTCTCAGCTTCCCTTGGGGACATCCTACTTATCCTGCAAGGCCTTACTTATACATCAGCTAGTCCTTGAGACCTCTGGGGTGTGGCGCACTCACACAGCTCCATTAGCTAAGCCAAGTTAGTGCCTCCAGAACTTTTAAGGATTCCTCTGTATTGAGTGTATTCAGTGTTTTTCTGTCTGCCTCTCACTAGACCACAAGTTCCAGATCATTTATCCTCACCCCTAGCACAGGCAACACTCACTAAATGTGACGAAAGAGAATGGCACATCTCTCTGCTTCTCACAAAAGCTAAAGGCTGCCTGTCAAGATCCAGCCCCAGCTGCCAAGGTCTTGAAGACACCCTGGTGAGAAACACTGACCAGGTGGCAGGGAGTTTATACCCACGTAAGCAACTAAACCAGTGATTCCCAAAGTGGGCGCTACCGCCCCGCGGTGGGCGCTGCAGCGATCCAGGGGGGCGGTGATGGCCACAGGTGCATTTGGGGGCGATGAGTAACTGCTATTAAAATTTTAAAAAAATTAATTTCCAGGGGCTGAGTAATATTTTTTCTGGAAAGGGGGCGGTAGGCCAAATAAGTTTGGGAACCACTGAACTAAACGGTCAAATGCTTACTCCTGGGGGAAATGGAAGTTTGGAGGGAGGTCTGTGGTGGTGTGATGTATGTTTCTATACCGATCAGTACTTTTGAGACTATCAGAAGAGGACACTGAAGACCTGCTGACCAAACTAAAAAGTGACAAGAAGTTTCAAGGGGAAGTTAATGCATGAGATTCAACACGGAAAAGAACCTCTTGACAAACTGGGGGGGGAAAAAGGGTCATATCTTATACATATAACAGGGATGAATCCAAACTCTTGTACTTAGGTTTTTGTTGTTGTTTGTTTGTTTGTTTCTTAAAAAAGGGCAATAAAAAGGGCAATAGTTACAGGATGGGGAAGATCAACTTTAACAATGCATGTGAAAAAAACATGGTGGGGTCCATGGGTGAGCAGAGATGTGGCTGCCATATAAGTAATCCAATTCAGATTCAAAAGTGCCCTGGCTGAGGCAACAGCCACCTCTATCATGCTCTGATTTGATGCACCCGGATTCAGAGAATGTTGTCACTGGCAGGAGACTTGGCGATTATCCCCTTCATCTCTCTTCTCACTTTATACACAAGTGGGAACTGAAGCCTATACTGGGTAAAAGTCTTGCCTCTACAAAAAGTCCAGGAGACAATCTTCTGAGCAGGAAAAATGCAAGAATAACAGGGCTTTTTCCAGGGTCAGGAGCCTGGAGGGACCAGGCCGGGCTAGCACCCTGGTTCCAGCGGCCCCAGCTCCCAGACACCCTCTGGCAAAGATCTCCGTCCCGGCTTCCATCCACTCTTCCTCCCCACCCTCCCGTCCAGCAACTTCACACCTGACACCTGTTCTGCAAAACCCTCCATGGGGTCGGGAATGGGGAACAGACGAGTGGGTCGTTCCTGGGGAAAGGGGCGTGGTCCCGCCGTGAAACACAAAGGAGCCCCCCGCCCCA